CTTCGTCTTCTTCTTCCCTCTTCTTCTTCTTCTTCCCTCTTCTTCTTCTTCTTCTTCTTCTTCTTCTTCTTCTTCCCTCTTTCTTCTTTCTTCTTCTTCTTCTTCTTCTTCTTCTTCTTCTTCTTCCCTCTTCTTCTTCTTCTTCTTCTTCTTTCTTTCTTCTTCCCTCTTCTTCTTCTTCTTCTTCTTCTTCTTCCCTCTTCTTCTTCTTCTTCTTCTTCTTCTTCTTCCTTCTTCTTCTTCTTCTTCTTCTTCTTCTTCTTCTTTCTTCCTCTTTGTCTTCTTCTTCTTCTTCCTCTTCTTCCTTCTTCTTCTTCTTCTTCTTCTTCTTCTTCTTCTTCTTCTTCTTCTTCTTCTTCTCTTCTTCTTCTTCTTCTTCTTCCCTCTTCTTCTTCTTTCTTCTTCTTCTTCTTCTTCTTCTTCTTCTTCTTCTTCTTCTTTTTTTCTTCTTCTTCTTCTTCTTCTTCTTCTTCTTCTTCTTCTTCTTCTTAAGCCCGTTTCTTCCTCTTCTTCTTCTTAAGCCCTTTTCTTCTTCTTCTTCTTCTTCTTCTTCTTCTTCTTCTTCTTCTTCTTAAGCCCTTTTCTTCTTCTTCTTCTTCTTCTTCTTCTTCTTCTTCTTCTTCTTCTTCTTCTTCTTCTTCTCTTCTTCTTCTTTCTTCTTCTTCTTCTTCTTCTTCTTCCCTTCTTCTTCTTCTTCTTCTTCTTCTTCTTCTTCTTCCCCTCTTCTTCTTCTTCTTCTTCTTCTCTTCTTCTTCTTCTTCTTCTTCTTCTTCCCTCTTTCTTCTTCTTCTTCTTCTTCCTTTCTTCTTCTTCTTCCTCTTCTTCTTCTTCTTCTTCTTCTTCTTCTTCTTCCCTCTTCTTCTTCTTCTTCTTCTTCTTCTTCTTCCCTCTTCTTCTTCTTCTTCTTCTTCTTCTTCTTCTTCTTTTCCCTCTTCTTCTTCTTCCCTTCTTCTTCTTCTTCTTCTTCTTCTTCCTTTCTTCTTCTTCTTCTTCCTTCTTCTTCTTCTTCCCTCTTCCTTCTTCTTCTTCTTCTTCTTCTTCTTCTTCTTCTTCTTCTTCTTCCTCTTCTTCCTTTTCTTCTTCCCTTCTTCTTCCCTCTTCTTCTTCTTCTTCTTCTTCCCTTCTTCTTCCCTCTTCTTCTTCTTCTCTTCTTCTTCTTCTTCCTCTTCTTCTTCTCTTCTTCTTCTTCTTCCCTCTTCTTCTTCTTCTTCTTCTTCTTCTTTCTTCTTTTCTTCTTCTTCCCTCTTCTTCTTCTTCTTCCCTCTTCTTCTTCTTCTTCTTCCCTCTTCTTCTTCTTCTTCTTCTTCTTCCTTCTTCTTCTTCCTTCTTCTTCTTCCCTCTTCTTCTTCTTCTTCCCTCTTCTTCCCTCTTCTTCTTCTTCTTCTTCTCTCTTCTTCTTCTTCCCTCTTCTTCTTCTTCTTCTTCTTCTTCTTCTTCTTCCCTCTTCTTCTTCTTCTTCTTCCCTCTTCTTCTTCTTCCCTCTTCTTCTTCTTCTTCTTCTTCTTCTTCTTCTTCTTCTTCTTCCCTCTTCTTCTTCTTCTTCTTCTTCTTCCCTCTTCTTCTTCTTCCCTCTTCTTCCCTCTTCTTCCCTCTTCTTCTTCTTCTTCTTCTTCCTCTTCTTCCCTCTTCTTCTTCTTCCTCTTCTTTTCTTCTTCTTCTTCTTCTTCTTCCTACACTCTTCTTCTTCTTCTTCCCTCTTCTTCTTTATTCTTCTTCTTCCCTCTTCCCTTCTTCTTCTTCTTCCTCTTCTTCTTCTTCTTCCCTCTTCTTCTTCTTCTTTTTCTTCTTCCCTCTTCTTCGTCTTCTTCTTCCCTCTTCTTCTTCTTTGTTCCTTCTTCTTCCCTCTTCTTCTTCTTCCTTCTCTTCTTCTTCTTCTTCTTCTTCTTCTTTTTCTTCTTCTTCCCTCCCTTCTTCTTCCCTTTCTTCTTCTTCTTCTTCTCTTCTTCTTCTTCCCTCTTCTTCCCTCTTCTTTCCTTCTTCTTCTTCTTCCCTCTTCTTCTTCTTCTTCTCTCTTCTTCTTCTTCTTCTTCTTCCTCTTTCTTCTTCTTCCCTCTTCTTCTTCTTCTTCTTCTTCTTCTTCTTCTTCTTCCTCTTCTTCTTCTTCTTCTTCTTCTTCTTCTTCTTCTTCCTTCTTCTCTTCTTCCCTTCTTCTTCTTCCCTCTTCTTCCTTCTTCTTCTTCTTCCCTTCTTCTTCTTCTTCTTCTTTCTTCTTCTTCTTCTTCTTCCCTCTTTTTTAGGTTCTTCTTCTTCTTCTTCTTCCCTCTTCTTCTTTTATTTCTTCTTCTTCCCCTCTTCTTCTTCTTCCTCTTTTGTTTGTTTTTCTTTCTTCTTCTTCTTCCTCTTCCTTCTTCTTCCCTTCTTCTTCTTCTTCTTCTTCCTCTTTCTTCTTCTTCTTCCCTTCTTTATTCTTCTTCCCTTTCATTCTTCTTCTTCTTCTTCCCTCTTCTTCTTCCCTCTTCTTCTTCTTCCCTCTTCTTTTCTTCCCTCTTCTTCTTCTTCCTTTGTTTATTTTTCTTCTTCTTCTTCCCTCTTCTTCTTCTTCCTCTTCTTCTTCTTCTTCCTTCTCTTCTTCTTCTTCTTCTTCTTCTTTCTTCTTCTTCTTCCTTCCTCTTCTTCTTCTTCTCTTCTTCTTCTTCCTTCTTCTTCTTCCCTCTTCTTCTTCTTCTTCTTCTTCTTCTTCTTCTTCTTCTCTTTGTCCTCTTCTTCTTCTTCTTCTTCCCTCTTCTTCTTCCTCCCTCTTCTTCTTCTTCTTCCTTTTGTTTCTTCTTCTTCTTCCCTCTTTGTTTTCTTCTTCCCTCTTCTTCTTCTTCTTCTTCTTCTTTTCTTCTTCTTCTTCTTTTGTTTTCTTCTTCTTCTTCCCTCTTTGTTTTCTTCTTCTTCTTCTTCTTCTTCTTCTTCTTCCTTCTTCTTCCCTCTCTCCTTCTTCTTCTTCCCTCTTCTTCTTCTTCTTCTTCTTTCTTCTTCTTCTTCTTCTTCCCTCTTCTTCTTCTTCTTCTTCCTTTCTTCTTCCCTCTTCCCCTTCTTCTTCTTCTTCTTCTTCCCTTCTTCTTCTTCCTTCTTCTTCCCTTCTTCTTCTTCTTCTTCTTCTTCTTTTCCTTCTTCTTCTTCTTCCCTCTTTTCTTCTTCTTCCTCTTCTTCCTCTTCTTCTTCTTCCTTCTTCTTCTTCTTCTTCTTTCCTCTTCTTCTTCTTCCCTCTTCTTCTTCTTCTTCTTCTTCTTCCCTTCTTCTTCTTCTTCTTCTTCCTTCCTCTTCTTCCTTCTTCTTCTTCTTCTTCCCTCTTCTTCTTCTTCTCTCTTCTTCTTCTTCTTCTTCTTCCCTCTTCTTCTTCTTCTTCCCTTCTTCTTTGTTTCTTCTTCCTTCCCTTCTTCTTCTTCTTCTTTTGTTCTTCCTTCTTCTTCTTCCCTCTTCTTCCCTCTTCTTCTTCTTCTTCTTCTTCCTCTTCTTCTTCCCTCTTCTTCTTCCCTCTTCTTCTTCTTCTCTTCTTCTTCTTCCCTTTCTTCTTCTTCTTCTTCTTCTTCCCCTCTTCTTCTTCTTCTTCTTCTTCTTCCCTCTTCTTCCTTCTTCCCTCTTCTTCTTCCCTTCTTCTTCCCTTCTTCTTCTTCTTCCCTCTTCTTCTTCTTCATTTCCTTCTTCTTCTTCCCTCTTTTTCCTTCTTCTTCTTCCCTTTCTTCTTCTTCTTCCTTCTTCTTCTTCTTCTTCTTCTCTTCTTCTTCCCTCTTCTTCTTCTTCTTCCCTCTTCTTCTTCTTTTTCTTCCCTCTTCTTCTTCCTCTTCCCTCTTCTTCTTCTTCTTTTTCTTCTTCTTCCATGTGCCAGGTGTCTTCAGGGCGTGGTCGGTCTTGGCTTGCTTAAACTTTCTACCCTTTTTGCTCTTAACTTTTGTCTTTTATCAACACGTCCATCCACCATTCGGCAAATTCATTTGCACATGTTCGTCAGGCATGTAATTCGATGCCCTCACCCCATGTCCATTTTGACCTCGATATGTCCTGTGGGTGTCAAATTCCCTAAGCCCTCTTTTCTCATTACATATCCAAGAAAAATCAGCGGTCTTTTTCTGAATTCGTGCATAAGTTTCTCTTTCGTTTCCATTTTACTTAAGACGAAGTTGCAGTATAAACCAGAGGTTAGCTTCAAGAACGTTGAACGAATACAAATGCACTTGAGTAGTCCTCAGAAAAGAACGGCCAGCTATATTATATATATATATATATATATATATATGTGTGTGTGTGTGTGTGTGGGTGTAATGGCGATGGATTGAAGTAAAACTGACCAAAGAAAGACGATCATTTTTTCTAAATAAAACTAGATGAAAATGCTAATGATAAAAAAGAATGGTTCCAAGAAAACCATCTTTAATAATGATAAAAAGAATAATCGACGAATTTAAGCATTCTCATAATGAAGTGTTTCTTTTCTAATACGTTTCTATCTTTTTATTGCCGTCCATATTTATTTATGGAGAATTTTTTTTATAAAAAATTCTTACTTTATTATTTTTTTATTTTTTGATAATTTCTAATTCAATTTCCTTTCGTGATTATGACATTTTTTTCCTTTCGATTTATTTCTTTTTTATTTTAGTTGCATCTCTATAATTTACATCTGCATTTTCCGTCTGTCTTTTTGCAGAGAACCACCACTACGGCCGCCACCGACACCATGGCCATCAATTTAATATCTGTCACTACTACAACTACTACTACTACTACTACTACGCCCATATAATATCTAAGTATTTTGAGTCTGCTGTTCAAAAATAAATAAATAAAAGCGCGGAAAAAAGCATATTCCACATTAGTACATTTCCTAAGAGAATCTACGTTCTTTCCAATTTGCAGCGTGATTAATATTTATGGAAGAAGAAGAAGAAGAAGAAGAAGAAAGGCGAAGAAGAAGAAGAAGAAGAATGAGGAGGAGGAGGAGGAAGAGGGAAAGAAGAAGAAGGAGGAGGAGGAGAAGAAGAAGAATAAGAAGAAGAAGAAGAAGAAGAAGAAGATTAAAGAAAAAAAGAAGAAGAAGAAGAAGAAAAAGAAAAAGGAGGAGGAGGGAGAGAAGAAGAAGAAGGAGGAGGATGATGAGAAGATGATGAATAAGAAAAAATGATGAAGAAAAAGAAGATAGAAGAGGAGGAGTAGGAGGAGGACTTTATGAAGAAGAAGAAGAAGAAGAAGAAGAAGAAAAAGGAGGAGGAGGAGGGAGAGAAGAAGAAAAAGGAGGAGAAGGAGGGAGAGAATAAGAAAAAGGAGGAGGAGGAGGAGGGAGAGAAGAAGAAGAAGAAGAAGAAGAAGAAGAAGAAGAAGAAGGAGGAGGAGGAGGAGGAGGAGAAGATGATGAATAAGAAAAAGATGATGAAGAAAAAGAAGAAAGAGGGAGAGGAGGAGGAGAAGAAGAAGAAGAAGAAGAAGAAGAAAAGATGATGATGATTATGATGAAGAATAGGATGAGAATGAGAAGCGAAGGAGGTGAAGAAGAAAATAGATAGGAAAATATTCAACAAGAAGGTGAACTGTATAAAGAAAGAAATAAGGGGTGAGATTAAGAGAGAAAAAAAAAGAAGATGAATAAAGGAAGTGAAAAGTGAGGGAAGAGAAATATGACAAGCTAAACAAGAAAATATTTAAGAACAAAGAGGGAAATAAGAGTTGACACCAGGACAGAAGAAGAAGAAGAAGAAGAAGAAGAAGAAGAAGAAGAAGAAGAAGAAGTTAAAGTTCAAGAAATGAGGGAGAAGGAGGAGGAGGAAATGGTAAACGACTTGGTAAATATTTGAGTATACAATGGTGTATTGTATAAAGAAGTAAATCATAGATGAAAAGAGAGAGCCAAGGAGACAAAGAAGTTTGACTATCAGGTAAGGAAGTCTAAAGTGAGTCTTCGTAAAAAGAATTGTAGGAATAAGGCGGGGACAACAAGAAGAAGACGATGAAGAAGATGAAGATGAAGAAGAAGAAAGGTTCTACCAGTTTTAATGGCCGCCTCTAAAATTCTATATCGTCCATTTAGCAAAAATAGATTTTTCTATCTTATACTTTGTTGTCTTCTTGCATTGATTTACGTCCGTGAATCGAAAAACTTTGCGAGTAATTTCTTCTTGTTGACTATTTAAATTTCTTTTTCTTTTTTTTTTTTATTTGTACTCTGGGTTTTTAGACAGTTGAATCATTAATGGATCTGTGGGGAACGAAGTAAACTATATTAGTAGAATCAATAAAATTTGTAGGGATATAGGAAAAAAACAAAAGTGTTATATACAGCAAAGTTTATTAACCCTGTACACTCGTCTTTGGAGTACAGAGAAAATGCGTAACTACACCAGCCGAAAAAGTATGTTCCGTCGCTGAAAACACTGAAACTAGTAAATAGCTACGTTGTGTAAACCTTCTGTTGATTCTAAGTGAAGTATTTAGCCACTGTCTCATTATGTCTGGTGCTATTGGTGTTCCTGTTGCAAGTAGATATACTGGCTAGATTTGCTAGCCCCGTGGAGAACCTTTTTGGAATTCAGTGTTTTCTTTTTAGATTTATTGGTAACAAAATCGAGAGAACCCTAAAAATAACGCCTTCCGTTGATATGAAGTGGAATAATTATATCTTATCAGTTGCTAAGTATGCTGCCGGAAAATGTGTCTCATTGTGTCGTGCGAGGCAATTTATTTCGGCAGTTACCCATTTATAAGTCTGACATTCGTCCTTGCTTTGAATATTGCTGTCACATCGAGTCTGGTGATTCTGCAATGCATTTAGGGTAAATGCAAAGAAGTATCAACAGTATTAATGGTCATGACCTGTCATTTCGGCTTCAGCACCTGTCCAACGCCTTGATGGAGGTTCCTTGTTCTTTTTGTATAAATACTTTTATAGTAATTGTTCTGATGAACTTTCCTCTATGGCAGCGCTTCTAAGACTATCTGATATAGAGGACCGGCATTTTTTTCTCTCTCAATGTATCACGTAACTGTAATATTTCGTGGTAATATTAATTTATACCTGAAACTATATATATAATGAATATAATAAAAAAAAAATCTTCCATTTGTTTTGCATAAAAATAATTCAATATCAAAACTTATAAAAAGTATCTGTCTATATTTCTGAGATAAGGTATTATCCACACTATTTACATTATTCAGACTATTGTCCTCATCTTTGTTGCTATATTCATTACAACGTTTTGGCCTTTCAGTATTTGTCTGTATTTCTGAGATGAGGTATTATGTACACTATTTACATTATTCGGACTATTGTCCTCATCTTTGTTGTCATATTTATTACAACGATTCGGCCCTTCAGTATCTGTCTATATTTCTGAGATGAGGTATTATGTACACTATTTACATTATTCGGACTATTGTCCTCATCTTTATCGCCATATTTATTACAACGTTTCGGCCCTTCAGTATCTGTCTATATTTCTGAGATGAGGTATAATGTAAACTATTTACATTATTCGGACTATTGTCCTCATCTTTGCTGCCATATTTATTACAACTTTTCGGCCATTCAGTATCTGTCTATATTTCTGAGATGAGGTATTATGTACACTATTTACATTATTCGGACTATTGTCCTCATCTTTGCTGCCATATTGCTTACAACGTTTCGGCCCTTCAGTATCTGTCTATATTTCTGAGATGAGGTATTATGTACACTATTTACATTATACGGACTATTGTCCTCAATATTTGTCGCCGTATTTATTATAACGTTTCGTTTTATACCCCAGTGGATGAAATAAAGTGTTCAGTTCAACATTCCAGCCACTTGAATAAGGCCGGAGCGTACAACGCCCGAAAGTAATAAATAAAAGCACTTTATTAAATCAATAACAAAAAATATATAACCTTATTGTTTGCAAATGATTTCTTAGCATGGCCTGGTCACTTGCCTCGTACCGGTAACTGATGTTTCGCGTACCGGCACCAGTCCGCGTACCAACACACTGAGTAGCACTGTTCTGTGCTACATAGAGACTCTGAGGTATTATGGTGGCTGTAGTAAGAATGGCAAGTAAGGATGTGCTGTGTTGGTGTAAGGAATTCTGTGGTATATCTGGGTCAATAATCGTGACTAGAATAGTTTAAGATAAGCCTTCCCTTATCCTTCTTTTCGACTTGTGCCACATATTAGTATTTTCAAAATAAATATTACTATTCTCTGTGGTACCTAGACTTTATGAATTTAAGCGCAGAACTAGATTGGCGGCAAGGTCTCACCATTTTACGGCTAGATTTAACCGTAAGTTCTATGTGAACAGTTTCTTCTATCGCACATTTCCATTGTGGAAATCTCATCCGGCTTTTGCTTTCTAGTCAACTTTGATCTTCATAAATTCAAATGCAATGTCAATCGTTATCTTCTGTCTTTTTAATTATTTTTCTTTTATTGTTCTTTTTCCTTAATAATATTTTTTCTCATATTCTCTTACACCCAATAACCCCTTGCGTCTTAGTATCTTTCTTTACTTTCTAATAAACTCTAGGTGTTTGGTGGGAATCGTTGTATTCTTACTTAGAAAAGTAAAGGTCTCAACATGTATTTTGACTCGATACACAAATCTGAGTGTCCAGGCTGATAACCGCTTCTCACAGTTTCCAGAATGCCGTATTTTGTTGCGTATAATACAATGAAATTTGAACGATAATTAAAAGTAAAAATGTTGATCGCGTTATAAACAAATACCCTTTTTCAGAAATGTTCATTTGTTTATAAAATGATCATTTGAAATAGGAACATTGCAACTACTCTCAGCACAATCTATATAATAAATATGAATGTCAGTGTGTCACACTTTTTCAACTTTACTCCTAGAGGCCTTAGCCCAACATATCACACCATTTTAGAATCGGACCGTCTCTGGAAGCAAATTAAAATCATTCCGGCCTGGATCTGTATACACAATCCTGAATTTTTTTATTCCCAAATTTTCATAACAGCGATTGTTTCCAGATTCCGCAATCTTGTCTTCTATTTATAAAAACAATTAAAGGGACATAACTCTGTAATTTTCAATAGCTCATGTTTAAATGAAAAAAAACAAAACTGTTCTCAAATTACAGCGTTTCAAAATAAAATTGTCCTTGTTTTCAGCTAGAGGCCGTAGCCCCAAAATAATATCATATTATTTTTTTAATCAGGTCGACTCCGTCAGAAAAATAAAAAAATCCCGGACCGTATTAGGAACATTAACCCTGAAATTTAGGATTCTCAAGTTTTCATTACTGCGATTGTTTTCGGCAAACTTTATAACTTGGAAGTAAATTTGGAAATAATTGAAAAGAGTGCGGAATGCAGTGAAGGTCACCGATGAAATAAAAATAATGGTTTGAACGGAAAGTAAGGACCTACGTGTTACAGTTTTTTTGTGTATATATATACGTAACTAGTGAGTTAGTCAAAATGACTTAACTCCCTTTATAGTCCACCAATAGAAGGTTAACCAATCAGAAGCCGCAGAACATTGTATCCGTCGTGTATAAAGGCGGCCGTTTTTGTTTTCCTACCCGAATGACCAGTGCCAACTTTTCCGGCGAAGATGACAGAAGGAAGTACTACGTTCTGCTACTTTGCTCCGAAATATCCACTGCTAACCTGAACTACGCTTTCCTACTGTCTCCGAAATATTCACTGCTAACGACCGTCAAAATGTCTAACACTACGTACACTAAATTGTCTTTGAATTAAGTGTTGGCAGAAGAATTATCGTTGAAAATTTAAAAGGCAAGCTTAAATATTAATGCAATACTTAAATGCATTGATCAATTTTGAGTTCTTCTGTAGTTTATTGTTGCCTATCACATCTACTCCTCCCTACCTCTTGCGATAAAGGTCTAATCAAGAGCCCTACGCAAGAGCTAGCCTAAATTCTGTCCGATAGGGCAGTTTTTAATATAGTAGAAAATAAAACACAATATTGGCAGTTGTTGACACCAGTTGTTTACAAAGGGTATTTGATATGTCGGCCATATTCGTTCTTTGTAAATCTGCGTAATGCTTAATGTTATAATAGATTTTTATCTCAGTTTTACACACGAGATAAATTTTATTAATATTTCGATTTTAGTGGTAATTTTTTTATAAAGTTTTCCCTCTTTTCAATCTTAATGAAATACAATTCTTTTCTTCATAGTTTATTAATTTATAGAAATACAATAAAGTAAATATATATTCCTGGGTATGTCTAGTTTCCCCGAAAATACATTTTGGAACGGAAATAACGAGAAGAAACACGCAATAGCGAAATAATACAATTCATTCTTTAATATCGTGAAAAATTAAATATTTTAGTGAAATGTATGTACGACACTAAGATTTTAATGAATAATATGGTACCACTTTAAAAAATGCACAGGAATGACTTTACTGCGGGGTAGTATTATATTCAAAGGTGCAATTTATACCCTTGGTTTAAGTTCAGAAACAGGGACCCTATTATACTAAAGTCGAATTATATAAAAGAAAATACGGTAAGTTCATAATTTGTAAAGTATTGTTATATTTATAGTACAATGTCGGGCCTATTCAGAATACGGAGTAGATCATAAGCTATACACATATATAAAGATAATTTTTTTTCGAAAACAAATACATCTGAATCACAAACAATAAAAAACAGCAGTTAAAAATATAGAAATAAACATTCTCAATTTAATTTGAAAGACACAAGTTTAGTATCTGTCTATATTCCTGAGATGAGGTATTATGTACATTATTTACATTATTCGGACTATTGTCCTCATCTTTTTTCGCCATATTTATTACAACGTTTCGGCCTTTCAGCATCTGTCTATATTTCTGAGATGAGGTATTATGTACACTATGTACATTATTCGGACTATTGTCCCCATCTTTTTTCGCCATATTTATTACAACGTTTCGGCATTTCAGTATCTGTCTATATTTCTGAGATGAGGTATTATGTACACTATTTACATTATTCAGACTATTGTCCTCATCTTTTTTCGACATATTTATTACAACGTTTCAGCCTTTCAGTATCTGTCTGTATTTCTGAGATGAGGTATTATGTACACTATTTACATTATTCGGACTATTGTCCTCATCTTCGTTGCCTATTATACTAATATACAATAGAATACCTGACAACCGAACTAAGAAGGCCTTCCGGATATTGGTTACAAAGTCCGGATATGAGGGCTTATATTTAGATTAAAATAAAAGAACTGAAATCAGGTTTAACATTTATTTTCAATGTTTTATATTAAACAAAATAAGCTAATGGTGAGTGAAATATAACGGAATTGATTTTAAGGACAAAGAAATAAATTATGTAATGTTAATGAAAATTCATTAAATTAAGTATGCCACATATGCAAAACAAATAATAATGTAACGAGGATTTTTTAATCGCTGTTGCATGATGATTCTTTCTCTTCTATTGTCATTCTCAACTTTTTCCGCATTTCGTTTTGTTTTTGTTCATGTTTTTTGAGCGACCCCCCCCCTAAAAAAAAAACTCTGCGTGTATTATTGCAATTATCATAACTGAATTCTGGCTTTCTTTCCATAAAACTGAATACCTTTATATTAGCTTTCTCAATTTCAGTCCAGGTTTCATCAAAATCATGTTTTTTTTTTATTTCCTGGTTAATTGTGACAGTGTGAACGCTGGAGAATAGTTTCTTTGGAAAATTTTATATCATACAATTTTGACTTTCCTGTGTTGAACTCAGTCATTAGTTACAATGAACTTTTACCAGCGTCCCTAAAGTTGTTCTTTTCCTCTTATTCCCATCATCTTTTGCACCAATACAAGCCATTTGGGTGAAATAAGCATAAGCAATTATCTAAAGTAAATTTCCTGAAAAACAGGAATTTCAAATCAGTTATATATCACCCATATAGTTCAAATATACACATCAAAATCATGTCTGGATATGCGTGATTCCGGATATGAGGCAGTCCGGATATGAGAGATTCCGGATATGAAGGATTCTACTATATATGACAGAAAATACGGTGGGTCCATAATTTTCACAAATCTCCATTAATCACTACTAACGTTATCTTCAAATGTTCTAGCGGTTTGATGAGCAAACTTTCTCAGTTGGATATCTAACTAACACGCTATCCTGTAGATTAACTTGGCATTTGTCTGCGCAAATTACTGTACGTGATGATATCAATCAACAGACAGAGACCGCTAGATAAAAAAAAAAAAAACAAAACATTTCCTCTAGTATACACTCATTACTCTAAAACATCATTAACTGTAGACAAGCATAAAAAGGGATACCGAAATTATAAGATCTACAATGTATACAACAGGTGACCGATATTTTTAACACATTGAAGATTTTCTATATGTCCGAGAAAGTACAAAAGAATTTAATGGCAATAAGGAAGTATATATATATATATATATATATATATATATATATATATATAATAGAATGAGATTGACAGCTATCTGGTTAGATATCTATCTAGATAGATTCGCTGTAAGGTTGACAAAACCACACCTGTAGAAATCTACTTGGTAGGAAACACATTGCAGTAGAGTGGTGATGATGTGGCCCTATAATGAACAGGGATATTTGATCGCATTAAGAAAGAATAGAAAGATAATGAACAGACTGCAATAGATAGATAGATAGATAGATAGATAGATAGATAGATAGATGCGAAAGGACTGGCATAGATAGATAGATATGAACAGATTTTAGCTTTGACAATGCACACCTGTAAAAATCTACTTGCAGCACCTGGAGCAACACCTGCCGTACTGAGTATAATTCGCAGTGTAATCTAATGACATTAAGAAGGTGAGGATATATATATATATATATATATAGTCGACTCTCCCGTCGAGATTCGACGTATGAGGGTCAAGCAGATCAGTTTCCAGGAAACCGAGAGCCCGACACCGGCACATGAGATTTGATTATAGTGGTGAAGGCCTCGTGCAGGGCCATCCACACTTTTTGAAGGGACGAATACAGAGACATGGTGCACCGAGTGCCACGAGGTTCCCAAACGACCCTCCGCAGGTTTATATATATATATATATATATATATATATATATATATTTAGCGGTTTTGATTGAGGAATCGCAGAGCCGAGTTCGAATTCCAGTCGAATCCATATATATATATATATATATATATATTCCATTCAAATCCAATATATATATATATATATATATATATATATATATATATATATATATATATATTTCATCGAATCTATATATATATATATATATATATATATATATATATGTGAACAAGCTGGGATAGATAGATAGATAGATTAGTCCCGTAGCTGTCATTTCCACCACGGCAAATACATAATTGTTACAGAAACCCCAGCAATAACGACGAAAGTGTTGAGGTTCTATAATCCGCACGGAATTCTTCTGGGTTAACATACAGATAATATGTCTCATGAATTTTCAGCTTGTAAACAAAATTTGTTTTGTGTAATTTTGGTTTAACGGCTGTGAAGTAAAAGAATGACTGGTTTAACATTACCCAGAAATCTTTCAACCGTTTTTTCATCATATATAAAACATAAGTATAGATCCTACAGAACCTAAATATTAACCTAAAGAACTCAAGTTATGTACTTAAACAACCTCATCAGGTGAGGTCACTTAGGTGGATGTCATGCATAGCATCAAACGTGTTCAGAAATTTCTAAACTACCATCTGCATACAAATGGTTTCCCAGAATATCGTTTCTCTATGTCGTGCCAGAAATTCTTTCCCGTCAGAATACATTATGCACATTAATTCCCCTCTGCAAGTTCTACATCACCTTAAAAACTAATTAACACCTCCACTGTGCCAGGTGTTCTTGAGGACATGACACAGTGGATAAAGGCTTTAGTTAAACCCAGTGACAGGACCCAAAGTGCTTGAGTTCAGGCAGTGGAGAACATTCAGAGGGAAATTAACATGAGATAACTGATAACTGACATCCATTAGACATGGCACATGGAACTAGAACAGTCTACTCCAGCGAGCGAAATAAAGAGTTCAGTTAGATATTCCAACCAGCTGAAGAAGGCCGGAGCGTACAACGGCCGAAACGTTGTGATAAATATGGCAACAAAGATGAGGATGAATGTCTGAGCAAGGTAAACAGTTTTTTCTTGTTTCTTTTTGCGATGGAAACTTTGCCCTGAGAGGATTAATGTCTTGCTTAAAAACATATCCGGCTATTCGGTAAATACATTATGTATGAAAAGAGCGTATAATGATATCGACAGACAGTTGTAAATTTCTACTGAGATTTTGTCAGAATGATTTCGTGTCCGAACAAAAAAACTCCCGTGAAAATATAGATAATCACTTCTGTGTTTTTTTTTATTGTTTCTACGTGTCTGTTTCAGTTTGCAATTTTTTTTTTCTCAATCCGAGAGACTCGTGAAATTATGCATACATTTACACCAGTGTGAAGACAAACATTACGACGACGACGATGGGTTCTGTTACCAATGGAAGGCCTATTATAAAGCAGGCTTCTACAATGTTCGTCGGGAAAGAAGGTTAATAAAAGAGAATGGAAAAAAAACAACAACAAACAAACAAAAACAAATGAATTCTGAAAGGAAAAGAATAAAAAAAAGAAATGGCAAAAACAAAAAGGAAACAATGTTCGGAATAGAAAACATAAAATAAATTAAGATAAGGAAAAATAATGATACTACTGCATGAACACACACACTAACACTATATATATATATATATATATATATATATATATATATATATATATTTTTTGACGATTGCGCCTAGCATGAAACAGCTTGACTTTTAATGTTCACTTTTATATTTATATTTACATACGCTTTATCTCTGATATTGGGCCTTTTATCCCATAAATATAGCACACGTTTAAAACTATATTTTTCATATATATATATTATATATATATATATATATATATATATATATATATATATATATATATAAGTACTCATCAGGTCATGGAGTCACAGTCCTATGGGTAAAAGAGAAACTCGGATGAGTTCCACAACGGAATATGTGATCGAGCGGCGCCATATCGTGTCTGATTCGCTACCTTATATATATATATATATATATATATATATATATATATATATATATATATATATATATGGTGGACTTTCCCGTCGAAGTTTGAGGGTCAAGCAAGTCAGTTCCAAGAAACCGACATCCAAACACCTGCACAGATGATTTCATTATAGTTTTGAAGATTTTGTGCAAAACCAAGAAAACATTTTAAAGAGCCGAATGCAGGTATCTGGTGCCCATGTGCCACAAATCCCCAAACAACCGTCCGCGGGTTTTGAATCCAGAGTTTTCCTTCTCCTAGACCAGTTTCCATCCAAAGCTATAGAACCCAGTCTGTCCTACTCTTTCCCATAGTTGGGGGAGAAGAAGAGGATCCATACCTTTTAGGGGATTAGCACGTAAATGAATCCAGTGGATTCGACTGGAATTCGAACTCGGCTCTTCGATTCTTAAATCCGAGCCGCTATCCATTATTCCACCGGGCCTGCCTCTGACTCTCTCTCTCTTTTACTCTCTCTCTTCCTCTCTCTCTCTTTTACTCTCTCTCTTCCTCTCTCTCTCTCTATCTCTCTCTCTCTATATATATATATTCAGGGTGTCCATAAACTTTGTGTTCACTTTTAAAAAATTATAAGTTTATTTGTATTTACGATAGAAATAATCTGTAAAAAATGTTATAAAGTTTAATGTACCTAGTTTTAAGTATAGCTAAAATAACTAATGTGATTTCAGGTATTACTGTAAATCAGTTGGCAAATGTTTTTCCGTGAACTGTAAAATCGTATTACCCTTTGTATTGCTAATGATGGAGGATATGTGCAAGCTTAAATAAAATTTCAATAAAACCTCAAAAAATATAGATTTACTACTTTCTAATCCTTTTTACAAATTATTTATATCGCAAATACAAAAAAAAGTTATAATGTTTGTAAAGTGCACACGAACTTTATGGACATCCTGTATATATATATATATATATATATATATATATATTGGACAACTGCGACCTTATAGAAGAAGCCCAACGCATCAACGTGGAGCTGAGCGGCCATAGGCACAGTGATGAATTTGCAAGCCAGCCTCGATCCTGCACACATTTTACATATGTGATACGCGTAAGTCTTTTGGGAGAGCTTCGAAAGTGCTTTCTTATCGTGCACTAGCTTCATCCCGATGGCAGACCTGTAAATTCTATCACAAAACTGTCAGAAGTATCCTGCAGGACTGTCAGAAAAGACATCTTCATAGTGGGCATTAAACCGTCGATTTTCATGCGATCTTATGTTTCTTGCATGCATATATATATATATATATATATATATATATATATATATTAAATGTGATAAAATATAGTTTTAAGGTAGGTTATATCTATCTATATCTATAGATTAATGGGTCCAATAACAAGAATAGAGCGTATGTAAATATGAAAGTGGACATTGAAGTCAGTACCCAGAGGCGACACTTTGTTTCATGCTAAACGCAATCCCTCAGTATATATATATATATATATATATATATATATATATATATATATATATATATATATGTGTGTGTGTGTGTACAAAATTTCTGATATAACTAATATATATATATATATATATATATATATATATATTGTTTAATATATATATATATATGTTGTTTATTTTTTTAAATCTGATAGATTAACGGCTTTTATACATCCCTGTAGAAATACGTGTTGCAAAATAAAATCATTATATCTGTAAAATGAGAACGAATAGAGTACAATGCCAAGGTTCGTGACATCTAATTTAAAAGAGGGCTCAACTGAAAGTAGAGCCATTCAATTTATTTTAGGATACTACACCGGAAACATGTGAAAATCGCTAAACAATTGCAGTCGTGTTTTGATGCGTATCAATGCATACAATCAGGCGATTGTAAATTACTCCGACAATCACCTGTTGAGATGCAGTGATATGTATCGAAACGCTACTGCATTTGTATAGAGATTTTGACATGTTTTCAGTGTAATAGCCTAATATATATATATATATATATATATATATGTATGTTTCATTATATAATATAGAAATGTTTTGTCGATTTATTTTAAGTAAGTTCCTTTCATATTGTCTGATAAGCTTAATAACATTATCATTGAAAGACGAAAGGAAATCACCATATTGATACAAGTTTAAATCCAATCTAAGCTTTCGGCTTACATAAGCCATTATCAAAGATGCCAATTAATTTTCAATGTATCAAACAATACACGGACGAAACAATAATGATTGTCTGTTTTTGTTGCATCAAAAAATTCCAAAGCAACGACAAACTCGTGTATACGAGACGCTGATATATATATTTTAGTTATTTCAGAACTTATGCACACGCACACCTATATATATATTTGACACCCTGTATTATTAGAAAACTGAAAAGAGATATTCATAAAAATATGATTTATTTTTATTCGGTTTGTTAACCAGTTGATAGTTATTTAGAGACGAAGAATAATTGAGTTTTGAGAATAATTCTCTAATTGTATTTAGGCGATCCGAAAGAAAGAAAAAGGAAGAAAAAAAAATAATAAAAAGAAAGAGAAAGAGAAATAGATAGTACAAAACCCGGTCATAAGCAAAACACGCGTAAAACTAACACAAAAACAGGTGTCAAAAGATATCCAGGTCAAAGTACCTGACCGAAATCCACGGAAAATAGAAATTGATATATTTGGTTGAAGGAATAGAGTTTAGAAATAATGATACGAGACGGGGTAGTGAGCGGATAGACACACGCGCGATTGATGCATAACAGATGTCGGTCAAGCACCTGACCTACTTTCGTGTCCGCGGAGTATGGGAGTTTATTATCAATTTGGTTGAAGAAATAAGATTTTAAGGACAATGGAAAAAATATTAATAGGTAACGAACGAAAAGGGTGTCATTGAGATGATAAGTAACCGCTGGGAAATGTATACGAAAACAAAACATTGGTACACGAACCCTGACCAGTTCTAGAGTGAAGATAAGAACCACCCACGATGATGAGTGAAGAATATTTTCAATTTAGATAATTAAGATTTTGTTAACAGGCCCCGAGCGAAAGAAAGAGGTGAAAACAATTGTTTTAGCTCGCGGAAGACGCCGACAGGTCGGAAAAATTCTTCTTTAAGTCGCATCTAATTAGCGGCAGACTGTTTTGACATATGTCACATGTGAAAGAAACCGGGATCGTCATTTTCGTACTAAAAAGACAATTTAAATTTTGTTTTTTTTGGCAAGGTGTTTCTTCCCCAGAACAAAGCCCCGGATTGTACACGCCCGATTGGAGACGTCACGAAGGAAGGAGGGAAGATACCGACCAGAGTCTCATTAGCCAGGGCAGTCACATGATACA